TGCTCCCGCAGAGCCGGAGCCTCCCCCCGGCCGCCGGCCACCCCCCGGGCGGCCTCCACGCCGTGGCCTCGCAGCCGCCCTTTGCCCAGCACGCCTTCGTGCCCGGGGGGCCCCCGGCCATCACGCCGCCCTCCTGCCCCGCCACCTCCACGCCGCCCGCCGTGCCGGGTGTCCCGCTGCAGAGCTCCATCTCCACGGCCGCCGCCTCGAGCGGGAGCGTGCCCGTGGTGACGTCCTGCACGCTGCCACCCATTCAAATCAAAGAGGAAGTCCCAGACGACGCCGAGGAACCGGAGAGCCCTCCGCCTCCGCCCAGGAGCCCCTCGCCAGAGCCGACCGTGGTGGATACCCCGAGCCACGCCAGCCAGTCGGCCAGGTAGGAGGTTGGCGACAGCACTTCCTAATTGGAAGGAACATAGAATCATAGAATGCATAAGGTTGGAAGGGACCTCTGGAGGAGGTCATCTACTCCAACCCCAGTGAGGATGAGGTTGGCCTTGGCCACCTGGGCACACTGCTGGCTCGTGTCCAGCTGGCTGTCAACCGACATGCTCCGCATGTCTGTAGTTACGTGGTGCAATTAGTTTTTCTCTTGTCTTTCAGGGAAGCAGACTGTGTTGTAACTGTAGAGTGATCTTTAATTTTCCCTGGTCATAAAGTTCTTAAATCGCAGAGTATCCATCCTGGTGGCTGAACTCGTTTTGTTTCTCCCAGGTTCTATAAGCACCTAGACCGTGGCTACAATTCGTGCTCGAGAGCGGACTTGTACTTCATGCCTCTAGCAGGATCAAAACTGGCCAAGAAGCGAGAAGAGGCCATTGAAAAGGCCAAAAGGGAGGCAGAGCAGAAAGCCAGAGAAGAGAGAGAGAGCGGGAGCGTGAAAGAGAAGCAGAAAGAGCTGCGGTAAGTTTGTTTGTAACTAAGAGCTGCAAAACGGCAGGATCTGAGCTGGATGACGGCTGCAGAATGCAAATAGCCAGGAGTGCCTTGACTTTTACAGTCAGGTCCTCGGGAAGGTGGGAACCTCATGTTGTAAGTGCAAGCAGCAGGCCACGAGCATCTGCTGGCCGGCCTGACGCATTGTCCTCTTTAAAGGAAATGGAGAGTTTCTCCTCCCAGTTCGTTTCTGATGTGGGGGAAGCTGGGGACAACCAGGCCAAGTGTTTATGTTTACTTGGAGTAGACGTTTTGAGATGAAAAATGCTCCCAAAGTGCAGAGAGCAAGTTCCCCCGTGTATCTTCTGCTACCTTTGAAGCTCAAGCACAAGAATGCTCTCTGCTGAAACAGGGAGCTGAAGGCTTTCTAAATCGCAAGTAAACTTGACCAAAGGTACATGATTTATTTTTGTGGGGAAACACGAACTTCAGCCTTGAAGTAAGAAGCCAATGTAACTAATTTCCTTTCCTGTGGCTTGCTTGAGAAGGAATGATTACTTTCTGGCCCCCCGAGTTATCATCACATATCCCAGTCTCCTTCCATGGAGCATTTCAGAGATCTGAATCACAGTTAGTCATCTCTACAGGGCCATAAAGGCGAGGATATAGACCTGTTCATTAGGGGATATGTCTTTTATGAGGATTTGGCTTTATCTGGGGGATACTGGGCAATTACTAGGGGTGATTTGCCCTCCCCAGAAGTGCTGTGCTGCCCTTGCACAGAGAGAAGAGCAGGATGCTCAGTGATGTGCAGGGAATGGGGTTTGTTTTGCTGCAAAGCGTGGAGGTGAGTTGCCCTGTACAGTTGCTCTGCACAGTCCAGGTGAGGTGCAGAGGGGAGGAAGAGCCCTTGCAAACAAGATGACAGTCTGTAGTAACGTGTTCCGGCCAGCCGTGCCCCACGTGAGGGTGCAGGTGATAGAGCAGTCAGTGCAACTTTGAGGCTGTTGCTAAAACGTAGTTATTTCCTGCCCCATGGGGTCTGTTTTTTGCCCCATGTGGAGTGCCCAGTTACAGGAGTTGTGAGGCTCAGCAAACTGAGCTCAGCCCTGTTTGCAGCGCGGAAGAGGGGAGAGCTTGCCTGCTGCCTGCTGTGTTTTCAAGCTGAGCGTGCTGAACTGAAGGTCTTTTCCCGTTCTGTGCAGCAGAAGGTATCCAGCTCCTCCCACGAGGGCCGTCTCGGAGAGTCCCAGCTCAGCGGGCCGGCGCACATGAGGCCTTCGTTCGAACCTCCACCCACCACCATCGCTGCTGTGCCACCCTATATCGGCCCGGACACACCTGCTTTACGAACACTGAGCGAATACGCACGTCCTCACGTCATGTCGCCCACAAACCGCAATCATCCCTTCTTCGTCCCCCTGAACCCCACCGATCCGCTCCTGGCCTACCACATGCCTGGCCTCTACAACGTGGACCCCACCATCCGGGAGCGAGAGCTCCGAGAGCGGGAGATCCGGGAGCGAGAAATCCGGGAAAGGGAGTTGAGGGAGAGGATGAAACCCGGCTTTGAGGTGAAGCCCCCGGAGCTCGACGCGCTGCACCCGGCTACGAACCCCATGGAGCATTTTGCCCGGCACGGGGCACTGACTATTCCCCCAACAGCAGGACCTCACCCGTTTGCTTCCTTCCACCCGGGTTTGAATCCCCTCGAAAGAGAGAGACTTGCACTGGCAGGCCCCCAGTTACGGCCTGAAATGAGCTACCCGGACAGACTGGCAGCGGAGAGGATACACGCGGAGCGCATGGCCTCGCTCACCAACGACCCCTTGGCCCGGCTCCAGATGTTCAACGTCACGCCTCACCACCACCAGCATTCACACATCCATTCACATCTACACCTACACCAGCAGGATCCGTTGCATCAAGGTGAGCTGGGGGCATTGCCAGGGAATCTCGCAGGAGCCAGAAGCCTGCTCCAAACCAGGCAGGCTCATCCTGGTGTTCTGAGCAGCAAAATGTCCAGCTTTTTGCACATAGCACTGGTGTGGAACGAGGTGGTGACACCCGAGTTAGCTCCGATATATCAGAGCACGGCTATATAACAAATGGATTACAAAACTGACCACGTTTGAATTATTGTGGGCGTGCGATTCCCTTGCTCACAGTACTGCTGGGCCCCAAGCAAAAAAGAGCCCTGTTGTATTTGTGGATTAAGTAGTGTTTGTGCTTAATTTACTATATACTCTACACCGTAGTAAATGATCCTGTTTTGTTCTGTGGCAGAGTTCCTGCTCAGGATCAGTTTAGTGAAACCAGCACCATTGCTGCATGCTTAGGCCTTATCTGAAATATTCTCGTTGCTGTTTTAAATCTAGAACAGCTCGTTTAGTGGCAGCAGCAGCACTGAGTGTAGGTAAATGCAGGTGTTTGTCAAGCAGCCCTGCTCCTGCCTGCTTTACTACTTCAGTAATGTTTCACACACAGTTCACCCCGTTGAGTTTTTGGAACAATAGGAAGCTGGAGAGAGATGATGATGGTGAGCTGAAGGTGGAGGAGTACTCCAAATCATTTCTGAAATGCCAGCTGAGAAGACAGCCGCTTGTCAGGCGCTTTCCTGCTTTTGCTGGGATTTTGCACATCAGCTGCTGAAGTCCCAGTGTTCCAGCAAGGAATTTCACATCCTCTCTGTTGGTAGGAGCTGTGGCAGTTTGTCCCTGTTCCTTGCCTTGAGCTGCCCCACAGCAGCTCAAGGGATTTGAGCTGGGATTTATTGATCACATTAGTGACCTGGAGCAGGAAGAGCAGGTTCATGTGGCCTCCTCTGCCGCCTGCTGTTCTGCTCCTTGCCAGGGAATTGATACCCATCCAAAGCTGTGGGTTCTGCACCCAGGCAGAGCGGTGGGGAGTGACCAGAACATCCCTCTGCTTGGAGAAAACAGGTAGCTGCAAGAGCGATCTGGGGATGGGCGTTGCAAACAGTTATTTTGGGAAGATGCAGAACAACAGCGCAGCAGGAAGATAAATGATAGCGCAGTAGTTTTTGCTGGGACTGTGCATCATGGCTATAAAAGGCTGTGTTTTTGCTGCTGGAATCCTAGAGTGCTACGTTGCACCTGGTGTACAGGTGCAGACTCCACTGAGCAAAGAGACCTCACTAGGAGAATCTCTGTCACCCCCCTTCCAGAACCATCTAAGTTTATGGGTCGACAGCTTTTTAGTTACACTTTTGTGATTCACATGATACTTGCAATTTTTTTTCCGGTACGTTTAATATTGTCACAAGTGACTTGGTGGTTTTGACAACTTTTAATTACATTTTTGTGATTCACATGATACTTGCGATTTTTTTTTTTTCCGATATGTTTAATATTGTCACAAGTGACTTGGTGTCTTGTTCACTTCTAAGACAAGCTACGGAGTTACTCCTCCGAGCAGATGCTGAATCTGGAAGGTGAGAGCTGGAAGTGAACTGAAGTTTTCACGTTTTCCAGTAGTGGACAGTGGGGAACATAACACACAAGGCACCGGCTGCAGTAGCAGCCAAGTCAGGAGAAGAAAACTGTCCAGATTCATGAACTGAGGCTGCTGGTGCAGCTGGCTGCAGACGGGCTGTTCGTGCAAGCAGATACCCCTTGCTTCACCATGCAGTGTGTGCTTAAACATGAGCGAGGTGCCTTCGTCGTGAGCGGATCAGATCTTAGGACTCTCCAGAAACCCAACTGGAACGGTCCTGTTCATAGCCGTAAACTTGAGGCCACTTGTAAAACCCAAGAACAGGAGGTTCCTAGGAGAGCAAGGAGGAATGACACTGGATGCAGGCACCCTGGGAATGCGAGGTGACCTGAAACACAAATGCAGTGTAATGTTTGCCAAGAACCTGAGCACGGCGAACAATATAATTATGGTAGTCAATTAAAAGCTGTACAGGGAGATTTCTTTCAAGAACAAGCCTGTGCAGCAAGAGTTTCTTCTAAGTCTTCCCAGTTTGCTTGTGTCAGGCT